CATAGTGCTCTAGTAGAGAAAAGTGTGCGTGCATGCCCATGGTACAGTTCTACTAACACTTGAACGGGTATAACGATACATCAGTGCTTGTGGTACAATTTGGTATTCCTATTTGGTTCTATACGATGAGCCACGCTCTTGGTTGGCGGCAGCCACTTGTGTGAACTAGCATTTCCGCACTACACAAAGACGCACTGGAATGTTTTTGCTTACTGCCCATGTTTTGTCCATCAGCAGCATGTGGGTCTCCTTCTTCCGAGACTTACTGACGAGCTCTTCAGTATTTAACAATACAGACAGAGATTGCCGAAGGCAAATAGAGAGTGGCGAATGGTATGTATTCTTCTTAATACACTCCTGAGCCATCACATGAAGCTGAAACACGACTGATGGCAGCCTCGTGGCCCTACAACGATACCGACAGCACCAGCACACAAGTGGCACTCGCAAACTTGCAACCGAGTAGTGCAGTCTCAAGCCTTCCCTCCCTTACTTCGGGGTTCATAGGGTAGATAAATGGGGCTAGGAAGTAGGGTAACTGTACGTATAACCCATAATATTAGGGGACTTATAACCCCGCGAAATAACTACCCATGAACCTCCAAGTACCGCAAGAACGAACGACGATATGCCATCCAAGCCCAAAGTCCGAGATGACTCTGAGGTGGAAGCGACGCTGAGCATCGTAGTGCAGGATACCGTGTGCTGGGTTCCGCAGCACATCAAGGCAGGGCTGCAGCCTTGTTCGAGCTGTTTCATTGTAAGTTTGGGGGGTCTATAGTTTTGAACGCCCAGACTTTATTTACGGGCGTGTGCCCATCTTCGAGCGGTTGGTTGTTGTAGAGAAGTTGTCCCGACTTAATGCCAACATGGCACCGATGTTAGCAGCATAGCCACTACCGACATTCTGAAACGTCGGGGCTTGCCGACAAGGTCCAGGCTACTTGAAGGTCAAAGGGTCCGACAAGCCCTGCAGGGTGTGCGATTTTCGTTTCTGTACTTCTTCTCAAAGCATTTAAAACCTTCGAGCAAAATACCACTTTGAGGCCTTCATCCCGCAACCGCCAGTTGGCCCCCGCAACCTCAAAGAATCGTCTGCTGCGGCCCTGCAGACATTGGGTGTACCAACGCGTCAATGCTCTAAACTTTCAGAGGGTTCGGCTACATCTAAGGTTTAGTCTTCAGCCCCCTCGGCTACAAAGAAGGTTCTTGTTTCGAGCTGTGAAAATTCTGGATCCTATTGGGTGGATGAAGCCAACCTATGCAATATCCACTGGCAACCACTCGTGGACCCGCACAAGAACTTCAAGTTTCCAGCTGCCGCTGAATAGCTATTCAACAACAACGCATAACTCAGAATGCCTATGTTGGCCTATGTTTGCAGACGACCGAAAATACTAGACTCTAAGCCCATGCAAGTCTCTGAGTCCGAAACCTTTTGCGCGGCCAGGGTACCGGTATGCCTGACCCCAGCGCCGACACCGAGGTGTCTGTGTGTGAGCTGTTGGGGGTGAGGGCCGATAGCTTCAGATGATTTTGAGGCTTGTCGCGTCGAAGGCCTGAAGTTTTAACTCAGGTCTCGCTGCTTCCAGTCCTCGTCCCTTTGGTGATTTGGCTTGCAGGGACAAGTCGCAGTTGTGTAGGCATGGGACCTAAAGAGGAAGCAACGCCTAACTCTACAAGACAAAGCCTATCCTGCGAAAGGATTTGGACTTTTGAAGCCTTGCAGAAGTCCTTCATGGTTCCGGCTGCGGGGCCAAACCCCTTTGCTGGAGACCCTCAAATCCACGTCCTCTTCTCTGGACAGAGAAACGAATGCCATGTCAAAAAGCCGGAGCAACGACCACGCGCGCCTTTCGAACTCGTAGTTCTCAAGCCGTTTAATCCTAGCTTAACCCTTGTGTGACATTGACAGTTTGAGTCCACAGAAGCTTGCCCGGCTTTCTTGACTTCCGATCAGGTTAGCTGAAGAGCTTACCGCGCATTTGTTCAAAGATGCAGTTTACACGCCCTTTAAGCCCCGATGCCCCGAAACAGTAATAAAGCCCGGTGACTTTGACTTTGACCCAAGCAGCTTCAAGCACCAAATCCTCAAGGCCCCTGGCCCCATGGCCTACTTGGAGCTTCATGGGTAGTTATAAATGGGCCTTATAAGTACGGTAACTATACTTATAAGCCATATTCGGCGACTTATAACTCCACATATAACTAGCCATGAATCTCCAAGTAGAGATTAGATCCTCTGGAGGCCAAGTGTCGATCCCAGTGCCGCGCAGACGAGACCTGCGCAAACTACCAGTTTGACAGCCAATGTGTGAGGCCAGGTTTTTGGTCCTCTCTTGGAGGTTACTGTAGGGAGTTATAAATGCTGGTTAGAGAGGTTTCCTTTAAGGGTTCTATGGGGTTCTAATGATCCATAGGTAAGGCTTCAATGTGAGGCAAGAGGCGCCGGCAACCAACTGGCAAAAACATACACCTTCATCTAGCCCAAGTGGATGCAGCGGATGCATGCATACTCCTTCCAATCAGCTAGCCGACATTCCCTGTCGAAAGAATACAAGATGCCACCCGACCCTCCTAAGACATGACTATGCGAAGGCCATGCACACCTCAGCAAGCAAAGCTACTCACTCTCAAGCGCACGTCAGGCCCTACTTGGGGTCCAAGGTAGTTCTCAGTGGGGTTGTAAATCCCCTCATTATGGGTGTATAATGTACCCCAAAACCTTGTTCTACTTATTAGGGTCCCTAGATTATGCCAGATCACTGAACCCCAATGTTTCGAATCGTGCTCGAAGATTCGACTTTGTCCTGATGAAGAAAAGATTCGCGGACAACAATACCACACGCTGCTAATCCCCGAAGCCTTGAGAACATGAGTGTCCAAAATCTCGAAGTCTCAGCATCGAAACCTTACGTTGCATTCCTGACGGAAAAGGCACGTAAAGACAACGAAAAGCTTCCTTCTGCAGGTATGATGTACGCTCGGATGGGAATCCGGTCACGGTCGTCGCCAAGGTCACCAACTGCACCAACGAGGGTACCTGCTACCTGCCTGGAACTTCCGGTCCTCCCTTGGAGGTTGTTGTGGGTAGTGAAAAAATGGTGGTTACAGCGGGTTCCTTTAAGGGTTCTTTGGGGTTCTATAGGGTTTAGGGTTTGGGGGTAGCTGTAAATAAGTAGGGTATTTTAATTCTAGCCCATATTGGTGGACTTAGAACCGCTCTTACAACTACCCATGAACCTCCAAGTACCTGGCCGGTGTACGGTTTTGGGGCCCAGTTTAGCTTTGCGGGCTTTTAGTCAAGTACCAATATTTTTGGTCTTCTGACTGGCATCGCAGCCATGTGGTGTCAAGGGCCTGCTTTTGATAGTAGTCATGGTTAGATTCTGGGGAGTCCTTGCTGTGAGAATATCTGTGGAGCTTTGCCTGCGAGTTCCGGATGTTTGTGGGTCAAGACGTGTTTGAGTGCGGAGCTGAAGCTTAACAGCAATCGCTTGTGTCACGGCACAAGTCAGAATGTCTTTGATGGTGGCCATCCAAAGTCTTACCACGAATGAAGTCGGGTGGACACGAACATAAAGCAATGATTCTAGAACCGACAACACTGACGCTGGCCATGCGGTCTCAAGGACAGGAAAGCAAGGGCTAGCAGCTCCATACGGCAATGTCGAAAAAGGTAGAAATGACTGTGTGTTCAGAAGTTTCAGGCATGAAGGTGACCCATTCCGACTGGTTCCTCGCCGGTACCTACTGCCCTCTTGGGAGAGATGCAGTCTTGGGTGGCATCGTGTACCTTCGGGAGCATGTGACGCCGCAGGACATGGTGCAGCTTGGCTGT